GGGGGGGGGGGGGGGGCACGGAAAGGCACAGCAGCAGGGCAGGGGGGAATTTGTGGTGTGACGTGACAAATAACCAAGCCACGAGGGAAACGGGCTTTGCAGAAAATGGTGAAGCACGGGAAAACACGTGCGGTGTAACGTGAAGAGCGATCAATAGACAAGCGACGCAGGACAAGGGGCTTGCGAAAAACGGCGCAGAAAGCGGCACGCGAAGTGGCACACATACCGGCGACAAGACACGCTTAGAGAAAGCAAGCGAGCAACCAAACAGGTACGCTGCTGGTCAGGTCAAGCAGAGAAGGTATGGTGGCATCGAGGGTCGGCAAGGAGAGGCGACACGGCATCCTCTTCCAAGTGCACCCTCTCTGTCTCTCTGTCTCTGTCTCTGTCTCTGTCTCTTACTCTCTCTCTCTGTTTCTTCTCCCGCCCACCCACGAGGCATGGGAAGACAGAAAACTTCACACCCGCACCTGGTCGGCGATCAAGCTCATGGCGCCCCCCACGATGACGAGCCTCACAACGAGGGACAGGATATACCGGTAACGGCGCTTTACCACAAGAAAAAAACAGATCGCGACGACGAGCCAAGCCCGACCCGACAGCATCGTGGGGGGACGAAACAGGAACGATGAACAAACAGCCACGGTTAGCGATGCGAAGAAAGAAAAACAAATGGGGTGCATGGCCGAGCAGCATGTATTATATAGTACATGGCCGAGTCGGGGGCAGCCAGCGTCGCACACGAAACAACATGGGTCCTCTACCTAGCCGTTGGCCAGGCCGGAACATAAAACCGCTGAAAGGTGGACACACGAACAGACAGGTAGATAGATTGGCAGAGCAACACGCATGGAGAGGACGACACACAAGGAGCATGCATCCAACACGCACGGCCACATTGCCCGATGCCCGCGGCGACAGGCTGCTGGGGAGGTGTTGAGGAAACGTCGACGCCGTCATTGTACTTCCTCCCAACCACACACCTCTTTGGGCCTGGGGTAGTCCGTCTGGCAACACACGGCGTCGGGGCGAACCCGAGGTAATGGTTTGTTCATTATAACTTATCATAAAAAAACAGTACTTCCGGTTCGCGTCAATGCTGTGCTGCCAACCGGGTTACCCCAGGTCCGAAGAGAGAGGTGCGGGGGGGAAGCGGTGTCGACGTTGCCCTGAACTCCTCTCTAGCAACCCATTTCGGCCGGCACATTTCAGCCTAGCGTGTTGGATGCATCTGCGCCTCGCCCGTCGTCCTGTTTCTCTGCGAATCTGTCTGTCTGTCTGCAACGGACAGATAAATAGGACGGCAGACATACAGGCAGACATACAGGCAGACAAAGAGCCAGGCGGACAACGCACGCACGCACCTCTGCGGACCTGGGGTAGTCCGGCTGGTAGCATAATGTTGGTGCAAACCAGAAGTAGAGCAGGCTCAGGAGGCCGATGTTTTCCGGGTAGTGAGTAATGGTTGCCGTGTCGACGTCGCCGTTCGTTCGTCTGCTGGGTTGACTCTTGATGATATTCGTAAATCATTCGAAATTTCGCGAGAGACACGCGATCGGTCATGAGGGAAGAAAGGGAGGATGAGAATCGGTAGGGCAAGTTTCAATCGACCATTAAAAAAACTCCGCGCGGCATGTGGACCGTGTATCACTAAGCGAGCGTCTATCTTTGCTTGGCTCTTGGCGAGCGGGGTTGGTCGGGTTCCATGACACAGACCTGCCACAGCGACCAGATCGGCGCTCGATTCTGTCCAAACAAAAATTTTCAACCGGCCGGGAAAAAATGATCGCGACGCCACCAACAACGACCAAAACAGACGTTACAAAACGCCACCTCTCAATATTTTCTGTATACAAGTATGCATACGATTCTACGTACATGCTGCTGTTGCCCCCCGTCCGTACTTCCATTTTCTATATGCATACCATTCTGCTTACCTGTTGCTTGCTGCCCCCCACCCGCCCGCCCGCCCGCCCGCCCGCCCGCTGTTACTGCGTATTTTTTCTATATGCATTACCGTTCTGCTCACCTGCTGCTGCTGCTGCCCTCCGTCCGAGAACCCCTCCACGCTCCACCCGCCGGTGCCCCCCCCCCTCCACCGCTCCGCCGCCGCCGCAGGGTCCCCTCCCTCACCCACCCCTTCCCCCCCTCCATCGGCCCCCTTTCTCTTGGCCGCGAGGGCCTTCTCTCGCCAGGCCAGGCGGAGGTCGCGGTTGCAGTGGGCGTATGAGATTAGCTTCATCCACAGGATGACGGCCGTGAAGAGGTAGGCGAAGCCGAAGACGGGGGAGCCCTCGGACCGCCAGACGATGGCCACGGCGATGCCCAGGCAGAGGAAGATGTTGAGGCCGTGCAGCAGAAGCACGGGCCACTGCACACGACCACACATGCGCGCGCGCGCGAGCGCACGAGGAGGAAGAGGCGTCTTTTGGTTGACATGTGGTAGTTTTTTCCGCCTTAACCGCGTTCGCGAGGAGGACGGGTCTTTGCTGTTATCCACCGTGCTAAACCGGCTGAAAACGCCGCCATAGGCCATGATCTGGGACCGCGTATGGGGGAGGCTAGGCTATAGAGTGCGGCGGCGGGTCTTCAGCTAGCATCACCGGCAGAGTAAACGGCAGTTGACACTCTTGAGTTGTCACACGTACCACGTTTCCAAAATACCCCGTCCGGCTGCACACACAGCGCGTTTGACGCCAACCAAATGAACAGATACACACCAAAAGAGGGACGAACTGACGGAGGGGGACAAGGAGAAGAACAGCATGTGGCCGGTCATCAAAACACCTATTTTACTTTACACGCGCCCCTCAAGAAGATGACCACTCCCGTCTACCACCCCTCCTGTCTACCGCCCGCGCGCCCGCCACCGTCATCTGGCTGGTGGCGAGGACAACGCGCCTTCCAGGATCCCAAGAGAACGGTTGCCTGCCCCCTCACTCACCTCGGCGCCGAAAAGCATGCCCTTGCTGTTGCCCGGCCTGGGCATGGCGAGCTTCTCGATCAGGTTAGCGCAGACGACGTGCAGGATCTGTTGTTGTCGTCGTCGTCGTTGTCGTCGACGACGTCAGCGGTGGCGTTTTTTGAAGTGTTTTTGCGCGGCGGTATTGCGGAGTTGATTGTGAGGGAGGGGGGGGGGGGGGGGGGGGGGGGGGGTTAAAGGGGGGGCCAGGAAAAAAAAACCAAAAAGGGTTTAAAAAACCCGGGAAAAACAAAAAAAAAAAACCCGTTTGGTTTTTTCCCCCAAAAAAAATTTTCCAAAAAAAAATTCCCCCCCCCAAACCAAAAAATTCCGGGGAATTTTGTTTTCGGGGCCCCCCCCCCAAAATTTTTCCCCCCCCCCCCCCCCCCCCCCCCGGAAAACCCCCCCGGTTTTTTCTTCCTTTTTTTTTTCCCCCCCCTTTTTTTTTCCCCCCCTTTTTTTTTTTTTAAAAACACCCCCCGGGGTTTTTTTTTTTTTGAAAAAAGCCCTTTTAAAACCCCCGGTTAAAAAAACCCCCCTTTTTTTTTTTTTTTCCGGCCCCAAAAAAAAAAAAAAGCACCTTTCCGTTTTTTTTTTTGGGGACCCCCCCCCCCCCCCCTTTTTTCTTTCCCCGGGTTTCCCTCCCCACACCCGAAAATTTTTAGGGGTTGGGTTGTTTTTTTTTTTTCCCCACACATTTTGGGGGAATTTTGGGGGGTTTCCCCAGGTTTTTTTGGTTTTTTTTTTTTTGGAAGGTTTCCCCCCCACCCCTTTTTTTTTTTTTTTTTAAAAAAAAAAAAATTTGTTTGTTTTTTTTCTTTTTTTTCCCCCCCTTTTTCCAAAAAATCTTGGGGATTTTTTTTCCCCGGG